GGAAACGTACCCGCCAACAGATCGCTCAAGATGCCAAACGGAGGGAAGTTGAAGTTCTTGGTGATGGTTTCCACGAGTATCAACCTCCTCAAAAGCCAATAAAGAAATGCGGAGAAGTTCCAGTCCGCCTAGTGAACGATGTAAGGAGCCCGCCCCTTAGTCGCGCTATAGAATTAAATGTTGACATGATGTTTTCAGCGTGCACACCAGACAGGTGTCAAGATCGACGACGATGACGGCCACTACATAGTAGTCCCTGATGCTGATCTCACATCACAATGTTAGTCTACCCATCCCCTTGGCCATACTCCTACGCAAGACTCCTAACAGCTTTATAGATCAAATCAGGAAACTTCTTGGTCAAGGCACATTCGGGAAAGTGGTCGAGGCACGGGATCGCAAGCGAAGCAAGCTCGTTGCAATCAAAATTATCCGAGCAGTACAAAAATATCGGGATGCCTCGAGAATCGAGTTGCGAGTGCTACAGACCTTGAAGGCCAACGACCCGGACAATCGGAATCGATGTATCCATTTACGAGACTGTTTCGACTTTCGCGGCCACATATGTATTGTAATGGACTTGCTAGGCTCGAGTGTTTTCGACTTTCTCAAAGGCAATAATTTTGTTCCTTTCCCGAACAGTCAAATACAGAGCTTTGCTCGCCAATTACTAACAAGTGTCGCTTGTGAGTACGCTCTAGCCTGCCACTGTCCTTTTTCACTGACACCAGCTGTCTAGTTCTTCATGATTTAAATCTTATTCACACCGACCTCAAACCCGAGAATATCCTCCTTTGTGACAGTGCCTATCAGACCTTCACCTACAACCGGAGGATACCGTCATCAACCAACGGAGCTAACCGGCAGGCTACACAGCGTAAAGTTCTCCTTGATACGGAGATTCGTCTGATAGATTTTGGGTCCGCCACTTTTGACGACGAATATCACTCGTCTGTTGTCTCCACACGCCATTACCGCGCCCCTGAGATCATACTCGGACTTGGCTGGTCCTTTCCATGCGATATTTGGAGTATCGGGTGCATCCTCGTCGAATTCTTTACTGGAGACGCCCTATTTCAGACCCACGATAACCTTGAGCATTTGGCGATGATGGAGAATGTGTGTGATAGCCGAATTGACACGCATCTAGTACAGATGGTCAATAAATCGGCATCCCGCAGCAGTAGCAATTCCCCTGCCAAGTACGTACCAAGGCAATTGCTAGATGAGGGTTGGTTTTCTAATGCGAGAAACAGGTATTTCAAACGTTTGAAGCTGGATTATCCCACAACCGAGACCACAAGAGCCTCTAGGCGATTTGTTCGGAATATGAAGCGTCTTAGTGTAAGTGCGAGTGCAATATTTCGGGGGCCAAGCTAATGCAATGGAATGCTAGGATATTATTCCCGCAACTAGCCCGTTTCTACGGCTCTTCTTGGATCTTCTACAAAAGATCTTTGTCTATGATCCGGCTAAGCGAATCACCGCCCGCCAGGCCTTGGCACATCCATGGTTCCGGGAAGCTGCCATTCCTGATGACGGGACCGAAGCTTTGAAAATCCGGTTAGAACGTATGAGGGATAGTGATTACCATACATCTCGAGTTCCAGTCGCGGTCTAAGGAGCGGCAATACTCGACTAACAACGTTGATATGAGGAAGGAGGAAAATGTACATTTCACCAGGACCCAATGTTTATGATGCATATGTTGCGGTTACGATGCCTATAATCTCTATCAGCGTGCATGCAGGGTAGTACCCGAACGGCGTTTTGGCCAGCATTGGGCGGTTGTATCCACGGCGATGCGGTCACTTTACATAGAGAAATTTGCCAAAGGACATTGATGATCAAAGGGGAGTGACGTGTGACGTCTTCTCAATATATACTTTACGCCAAGCAGTGTTGCCGTTACTTGGTACATATACTGGCATATGATGGTGGACACACCTGGTGCTTTCCTGTGTGATAATTGAGAACTTGACTAGGATCAACGCCTAGTTATTTGATAGTTGGCTGGGTTTGCGAGTCTCTTCTAGTAAGTGCTTACCCCTTCAAGACCTCACTGACCCTATTTTGATTTGGCAGATCCCTTGACAACCTGTTTGTTAAGGCTTAGCGTTCATTTCGACTTCGCAAAATCAGCACCTACATTTCTAAGACGAGCCGAGTATACCAGATACACCATATAAAACAAAGGAATGACTCGTCAACACTAACCGGGTCACAAAGACAATCAGCTTCTTTGAAAAAACGTGCCTTGTCTTTCTAGTTCTCAGTGGGAGGTTATTGGGAAATATAATACGAGCCAGTTCTACGTGTTACCAGGTTTTCTCTAGCAACCTCGGTTATTCTCGTTCTGTTATTGAACCAAAACCGCCTACATACAATTGATTTACCAGCCTACATTGATTCCATTGCTGCCTGTGAAGCCACTCTGTTGAGTCAGACCGCTCGTTACAAAAACCCCATTGTCTTGCGTGTGTCCCTTCATGAGTATTGAGATTCGAGACTTATCGGACGAGCTCATCGTCCAGATCACAGGAGTCCTAGCACGACGTCCTGAATACGGAATTGCTATACCTTCCCGGAGATGGCTACAGAGACAAGAGGAGAAGATAAAACAGCTTCCCAAGGAATTGTCAAGGCCGTCCGGCTTGAGGCGCCTAGCTATCAAGATAGCCGATCGGATTGATCCAAACATCGTGGACCCACAAGCCATACTCTGCCAAACTCACTCTCGTCTTAACCCCTTCTTAATCCGAAGGTTGTTCATCGCACTCGCGTACGAAGTCACAGTCCATACAGATAGCTTACGCTCGTGGCCAGGTAGAACTTCGGACCCTGAGCTCTCTGCCTTAGTTGGGCGACTTGATTCGATTACGGCATTATGGACCGAGCCGCGGCTTTTCCAAGAGATATACGGGCTCACCCCCTTCGATGGCCACCACATATTTGTCAAATCTTCCTGTGAAGCTTGCTGTCTTGCGGCCGTCGGCGCTAGTGGTCGGGCTTTGGCAGACCTTCGAACAGTTCTCATAGATCGCATGGAGCGACGAAGCGCAAGGCCTTCAGGAAATAAACCTCGCCTACACCGTGTCGTAGAGGCGTGGATCGATCATCTTCGGGAGAAACGCGGAGACATAGGCCGAGCCGAAGAATGTCGGGCTTTGAGTGAAGCTCTTTTGATCAGGCTAAGGGTGGCTAGACCCCAAATCTTAGCGTGGCGAGCCGAGCAAAGGCGTCAGCGCGCCGCGCAGCGCCCTATATACGCCGAGCTAAGGAGAAGTAGGGCAGGTGCCGAAATCACTCCTCTACCAGCTAGTGCTGGGCATACGAGAAGAACAAGAAACGGGGTTCCGATTGCCTTGACCGATGTCGAGGGAGCCGAAGCCCAGAGAAGAGCAGCCGCTCAGGGGAGCAGAGCGAAGAGTATTTATCGTCCGGATAGTCTTGCTCCGCATTCCGAAGTTGATATGCGACAGCGAGCTACTCGCGCCGCTCCTACCGGCGACGTTGAGCCAACTCAATCTCAGGTCAAGCAAGAGACGTCCATGGAAGATGATCGTGGGTTTAATGATGACTTGGAAGACCAGGAGCTGGAAGATGACGCACATACAGAGAGGAGCCGGGCTACAGTCCAGAATTGGTGGGCCAACCTATTATCCCAGTCCCGCCTTGACCTTGGCCAGGATGATGCAAAATCTATGCTATCAATGGTGCACCCTGCTTTCCGCCCTACAACCAGTAGCATAGCTCCGTCTACTCTCCCCGGTCCAGTTCCCACAAATGATGGTGAACAACAAGCTGAGGCTTCAGGGGAACAGTATCAGGGTGCACGGAGTGCCTGGACAGATTGTAGCGTGCAGTCGCTACAATCTCCAAGTTCCATTAGGCTTGATTCCAAAAATGTACCCCCAGTGCCAAGAATACCATCCGAGCATCGCCCAAGCTCCTCGGAGACATCAGAACCTAGAGTCAACTGGCCCGCTCCGCCAGAAGGACGATCATTCCCTCCCCGGCCTGGGGCAAGCGCGGGACATTCCGCACAAGAGTCGGCCTCCCGACCTTCGTTATCCACCTCGACAACCGCCTCAACAATCACACCAACAACCGTCCCGACAACTGCCAGATCCGCACATACCCAGAGCCACTCTATAGCAGCTAGCTCCAATTACGACAGAGGTAGTGTAACAACCATCTCTAATGTAGCCTCGTTTCATCATCCCCTGCGTAGAGACATGGCCAAGCCCGGACCCCGCGATGGAAACGCAACGCCGACGTCGAGAAGCAGAGCCGGGAGCGTACCGCAGCCCGCCACCGTCGAAGACGAAGTCGTTCCCGATGATTCCGTAAGTAGCGTTAACGGCAACCGGCGTAACAATCGACGTCCTAGCTCGACAATTACGCGGTTTAGTGACTTCCAGGGGAAGATGTGAAGGGAGTAAGTACATAGCATGTTTGTTTGTTTGATGCAATAAATTAGGCGTTTTATGCAATTTAGTCTGTAGAACTAGATGCTCCCGGTGAGTTCTTTGCTTGCATTGGATATTTTAATCGATTGTATAGTCTGCCTCCTGGTTCGTACCCCTTCGATAGCTAGTCCGTAATCAACATAATAATAGATTTTATGGAGTATAAGAGTCTTGGTTTGTGATTAGGAGTTCTGGCCTTGTACTCTATTTCGGGGGAGACCAACACCACGCCTTGATTTTATTCAATATTTATCCTCCATTTACAACTAACAGTATATAAGGAGCTGCTACGCGATTGCAAGACCTGAGACACACCGTGGTCCTGAGACTGAAGGAGTTTGAAACTATAACAAAACTAAACAAATAAATCATTCTATCACAAAGGAATAGTTCCAGAAGGTTTAAAGAATGCACTTTCTTTAGTCTTTCTTTAAGGGGGAGATTTATCCTTTTTGCAAAACACCCAAGCTACCGTTGCGCTGCTGGCGGATATAGGGTCATCTATGAACCTCTGTCACCATATTGATTGGGCGAATGGTCTAGAGGTATGATATTCGCTTTGCATGATTAGAGGAATTGCTAAATTAGGTAATTAACTCTAAAGTTAAGTGCGATTGCGAAGGGTCCGGGGTTCAATTCCCCGTTCGTCCATAGTTTTGCTTGTCTTTTTGTTTTGTGTAGGAAAACAACGTAGGCGACTTTTAAGTGCTAGGGCTCATTTGTTTTATCCAGCTCCCTCATAATAGCTCATAAAGATTTACAAATTTCCAATAATGTTACAACTCAAGAGGTCACAACTAGGTGCCGTTCACTAATAGACACATTTTATCCGAGTTAAGCATATACTACCATAACCAATTGTTTAAGTTCGGGCCCAATATAATTGCTCTCATGTATTTTAGTACCGTAGGGCCATTCATACTATGTGGTTATTTCGCAGGTGGCATTGAGGGCCTTTGCACCCATCCCTCTGTACACCATTTGATTTTCGAGAGAAAAGGTTACAAAAAGTATACAACAGTAGGAAACAGTAAGTAGTCCAGCGCCACTTATAGTTTATTCTTTTGGGTTTCTAGTCATATTCTGCGTTCTCATGGTTTAGTTCATATTCTCTAGACTTAATAGGGTTGTTTTAAGTTTAAAAGGGGGTTATCCTATGATTGATCCTCTTTGGTGAAAGCCTGGAACGCACGCAATCCCTGAGCTCTGATGTATGTGCACATGTTATAGATAACTAATTTCACTCATGTCTTTATTTTTAGCTAGGTAGTAAGTAGGATATTAGCATGGCTTGACACTCCTCGATCGTATTTGCTAGTTTCTCGCAAACACTTTTCTATTTGCCCGGGCTTATACCATGACTAGATGAGATAGGCTTTCCTGTAAGTGTTCTAGTTGGTAATATTTTAGAATCAAAGTTAAAGTCACTCAGAAAAGTCTCGGCTAAAAACTCTTTAGTGCTGTGACCAATAAGCTCACGAATCGAAGTGGCAATGAAGCGAATGATATATAGACCTTGCGGTAACTTTGCAACTCAGAAGGGGAAATCTAGTAAAGGGGACAATTTACGTCTGTATTGGCATTTATTCGGTTCGTGTAGAGAACACTCTTCAGTCCGCATGTCTCTCCAATGTCGTTGTACTACATGCATTCCAGCGATCAGTGGTTAGGACTAATCTCCACGGGAGAAAGCAACCTTAGACACACGCTCAGAATATTATAAGAGTCGTGCTCCTATTCCTTTGCCCATCTTGGGTGTAGAAATCGGACGCTTGATTGCGTATAGTTAGCTATAACTCACGAGTTAACACCTATCTAACATCAAACACAAGAATATTCGCTGTAAATCGTTATTTCTTTCTCTTTTTAAAAATACTTTCAATTATACCATAGAAGCTTATTGTATGTGAGGTACGAGCAATAGCTGTTGCTATGAAGCAAAATTACATTAATTCCATCACCGATAAGCCAGGGATGGCTTATTCCCAATATCACAGCTTGTTCAACTCTATCACACGCTCGACCCCTGGACTATTTATCAAATAACTGGCAACAATGCTAGAAAGCTAGCCACTCCAATCACTCCAGCCAGTTTTGCTGTCTGGGTTGAGGCACTAGCTGGAATGGGGGGTGTGAATGGCTTGGGAGCGAGAACCTATATGGATCAAGCTTAGCATGATACGCCAGTAATATTAATCTGCATTACTCCCCTAATTCTGCCATTAAACTCCCTTATATAGACAGGACCTAGCTTACCTTGTCAATAACGTGCCCGACTCCATTTGCGAGAATTAAATTTGCTTGCGTAATACGCGCACCGTTGACATAGTATATCCCGCCACGGACACTAATGGCTAGTGTCTCGTCGCGCTGAGTTTTGAGGATAGTACCGTCTTTAAGGTCAGGCAGGTAGCTAACCGTGCCGGCGACGACGTGATTAGAAAGCAGCTCCGGTGGGGAAGCTGTCGTATTTGTCGCGGAGAAGGCGGCGTTAGAGGGGAAGAATACTGTTACGGAGTGTGTGGAATCTAGCGTGTTTGTCATGTTGCTCTTAGAGAGCAAGCCAGAAAAGACAGTCTGTCCAGTAGCTCTGGATGTGGAGCTAAGGGATTCGGGTAGAGTGAAGTAGCTGTTAAGCGGCGGACGTCAGTCGGCTTGTTATTTTGCAAACCATAGGGTAGCAATCTACCTGTCTGTGATATGGATTATCCCTCCATCGAATGGGATGTCCCCTTTAATAACATTAGTAGTATTCCCCAACCCGGCAGTAATCCTTAACAGGGATGGAGTGGCGTCAATCGATCTCTGCCTCTGCCTGAGGCTAAATTGAGGGTTCCAACGCTTTGTAAGATTAGTGACGTTGGACGGCCTGGTGTCGGCGACAACCTTCTGCCCTTAGCCATCGAGCTGTGGGGACTTATTTGCTGTCTCGAGGATAGAACCAGGAAGGGTACGGCTAGCTATTCCTAAGCTCACCTCCCCTTTTGTTGCTTGGAATGCAGCTTGCTGTCGCTCCTCGGGGAGAGAGCCCGTTCTTGAATGATGCTATCAAAAACAGAGTCTGAAGGGGCGAAGACAGTCTGAAATTAGCCAGAGAGGTACATCTGGAGGACATCTGGGTCGGACTGAATTGAAGAGGCAAACTTGGAAGCCCCTGAAGCAACGAGGGTGTTAATGAGCCCGTGTGTAGATTGGGATACCGCTAGAGCTATGATGCTTAGGAAGGAAAGGGCGATAGCCCAGAGTCGAAGAAACATGTTGAACTCAAATTTTGGCCTTATTAAAACAGAGAAGGCGAAGGTGATGGCTGTAGGCTGAATAGGGTTTGGGGCATCAGAGAGAGACTGGAACCTGGGGGGGATCGAACCGCGACCAGCAGTTGTTATGTAAATTTCATAGCACCACTAGGAACGATAGTCGAACTCCAACCCATCAATATAATGGCAACCCTGGCTAGCAATCTTCATTAATAAATTTACTCATGCTGTTGAGTTAGCCCGCGTGGGATGTAAGCAGCCCGTCATCTTAACCCACGTCGAAAGTTATGCTCGAAATAGCAATCAAAAGAAAAAAGAAAAGGGTGACTTATTTTCCATGTAGCTATGTACATCGTAGAGCTAGTCCATTTTCCCATTTAGGGGGAAGTGGTGTTGTGATGCCACGTCGAGGAAATTCGGGCACCAAATCGCGCCCAGCTGACGAATAATACGCCTTTTCGGGGACCTCATGGAGAAGATCAACCATTTATTGAGTACAGGGGAAGCTCCATGTAAGCCAAGAATTGCCCTGGTCAAGAGTTTGTCAAGCATGAGGCTCTGTAGGACTTGGAGTTGTAATGTACCTGCCAGTCTTGCATTAGCTCTTCATAACCGGGGAAGAAGACGGGTTGACAGCGAAGACCAATAATTCGCATGTGCTTTTTCCTATACACGGTCGAAACCACATTCCATTCCCCTTTTCTTCGTCTAACTTACCCTTTTGCTAAATCACTCCCTCATTGACGAAAACACCGTAAAGATCGCGACGAAAATGGTCGTGTCGACGACCAAACAACTGCCCAACACCTACAACCTATGGCAGCGGTTTAGCTTTTCTACAGAAGAACGATCTTGGGATGCTGTTGCTGTGCCCTCTTGGGTTGGTGATAAACTCAACTCCGCTTATACCTTCATCATTTCTCTGGCGCTTGTACAATTCTGGACCATAGTCCTGAGTCTCATACTCTTCCTCGCTTTGAGAAAGTACAAAAATGATGCTTCCAAGCTCGACCCCCTCGCTGTTACACTATGGAACAAAAGAGGCGACCTCGTCAACTCTGTAACAGAGATGTTAGGATTCCGAGGGGCAGATTGGACACGTCCATGGCTTCTAATATCAATCTTTATTGCAGTCGCCGCTGGAGTTGCAAAGACTGCTGTAACCATCATAGTAGCTCCGCTCATCATCATCGACCATGCCGCACCGGTGAATCCGGCAGCCGTTTATGCTCCCGACGACACCGCGACGGATAATAAAACTAGAGCTGCTCGATTTGCTCTAGAAGTGCCACGGTTTTTCCGTGCGCTCGGTAACGCTGTAGTTGACGACGAGCTACGCCAGAGGGTAAAAGTTAGCCGAGCGGAGCGACTTGGACAAACAGAGAACCGCGAAGACATCTTGCGCGTTGATTACAGCTATGGGGCTACAGGCGCCGACCTAGGAATACAGAAATACTTCGACCTCACGTTCAACGTCACTGGCTCCTGCGTTACGGACTACGGGTGGTTTCAAGATAGCTTCGATAGTGAGGCCGTCGGCGCCATCGACCGATACATAATCCCTTTCGCTGGTGGATTTCAATTTACTTCTTTGGTCGACGGTAGGCAACCTTCAGCAACTTTTTACCTAGGATCCCGGACTAGAGGCACACTTGACGAAAGCAATACCACATGGGGGGCTCTCGTGTCGTCAGTCGGCAGAACGAGTTTCAGTGTTGGGACTGATCCTTGGTATCTTACTGCACCTATATTGTCTAATGACACGGGAGCGGGGAATACCGTGCGCTTAGGACGGCCAGGGATTTCATGTTGGCAAGACGACGTATGGTCGTATCATGGCCGTAATACCACCACCGCGGCTTTGACGAGCGGCCAGCTCCCAGGCTTAAACCTATCAGATGCTCTACAAAGCATGTTAGCGCAATATCTTAGTTCGCCTATCATACAGCAGGTAGGTTTGCACCTTCAAGCCTCTGCTCTAATGTCGGCGACAACGTCCCTTGATCAGATATTTGATTCCAGCGCGAGTAGTTTACATGACGATCTTGAACGTCTTGTGTTAACAGCTTACGTTGTCACCATCAACTGCTTAACCGACACAACCCTATACCCTACTGCTGCTATCGGCACAGTCCCCAACATTGCGATCGGGGACCGCGGTGTGGTGCCGGATGACCTGGGTTATGTGGTATGGAGCCCAGACGTTGCGACGCTGTCTACGCTTGTCATCATTGTTATCCCAACCATATTAGTTGGCGTATGGCTCATTGCTATTGTTTTGCTCTATTTGACTCCTATCAAGGTTGTCGCGATTCTCGATTCCAGTTCTTTGCAAGAAGATCGGAAACCAGATGGTAGGGAAGGCAATCGCCCAACTGCTAGTGCACGGAATGA